CCATATTCTTTGGTCCAGAGTAGTTTCTTAAAGGTTAGTTGCAATGTAGAATCTGAAATCAGATGAATTAACTCTTTGTATTGTTCTATTTAAATTCACCAGTCTGCCTTGTGCTTTCTATCTTTTGCTCCTGATTTTGTAATTTTGTATTGGTCCTCTGGAAAATAATTGGCTCATCGAGTTCTGCACATATTATAAATGTTTACACATTTAAAAAACCTACTATATTGTAACATACTAAAAGATATATGAACACATATTGAAGCACACATTCTATTAGCTATCAGTAATGAAGCCCTCACATCATACTGCCTTTGGAAAATTCCACTGGCATCTGGGAGACAATAAGAATGTAAAAAACGAATTGTCTTATTACTATTAAAGTAGTTTTGACTGTGCAGAACCAGGTCTTAGTTTCCAGACCTTACTTTGAGAACAGCCGATAAAGTGTGATATGACCTGTTAAATAAAAAAAATTAAAAAACAAAAAAAGCATCTTACCTTTATTTTAAACCAGCTGGAAATTTACATACATAGCTAACATCGTAGATTATAATCCTAGATGGTGATTTCTAATCTCCTTATATTTAGGTGAGCAGACAGGCTTATATAAATGGATGACTTCTAGTTTAGAAGTCAGTCCAAGTTTGAATCCTATTGTTATTATTTTGAAGAATGTGGGCAGGTGGCTGCATGCAGGGTATATATTTTAATTAACTTTTGTCATTGGGGACATTAGGTAATAGCATGGGAAATGGAGAAAATATTTAACTTGTCAAGGATTTCATTTTATTTGCATTCACAATCAATGCCAATGGAAGCATCATTTCGGAAATCAAATGATGTATTGCATTGGGCAAATCTGCAAATCTCTCTTTAAACTGAGAGATCGCTTCTTGGCCTTTTGGCTAAGATCAAGTGTAATAAATTGTTTGAGAACTAAGGTGCATATGATCTAAGCCATCTTAATTCAGTCACCTCATATGCATGTGAAAGGACAATGAATAAGAAAGACTAACGAAGAATTGATATAACTAAATTATGGTGTTGGCAGAGTATTGAACTGCTACAATGGATAAGTCTGTCTTAGAAGAAGTACAGCCAGAATGCACCTGAAGAAAGGCATCATGCTTGGAAAAGCAGTGGTCCGTGAGGAAAAAGAGCCTCTCTGAGATGGAGTGATACAACTGATGCAACACTGAGCTCAAATATAGCGGTAGTTTTGAGTGGGAACCATGTCTCATTTCCTCCAGCTACACAAAGGAGATGGAAAATCCAACTCCACACCTCTTCCAGTAAGATTAGTATTAGGCAGTGGTCAGACATGCCTCTACTCTCCACCATTCTTTATCCTATTCTGAGATCAATCATCTCCCTCATGATATTCTACTTCTCTAGTGGGTTTGAGAATCCATTATAATGGCCAGAAAGAATTTGCAAAATACTCATGATTATAGGGTTTACTGGAATTAACAGGTTACATGTCATGCTAAAGATCAGTAAGGATACATTTCTTTTTCTGTAGTGGCTCTTCTCAACCACTGCAGCAGCCATGTCTCTCTCTGGTCCTCCGCCTCTCAGCCACAAGTGATCCCTTGGCCTCTATCCTACCAGGACACGTTTTGCAAAATGCTGATAAATGCTCAAAGGGCACACTACTTTGCAAGCCAGCTTCCTGCCCATACACACTCAATTTTACTCATTCCATGTGCTGGAAAACACCACTGCTCAGTCTCATTATTTCAGCATGTGACCTTTGGTACCTTGACTGCTGCTGCCACTTAATGGAGGGATCTCACATGTGCTTTGCGGGTGACTCTTTCTTGATCATCATGGGATTCTTTATTTCTGCTTCTGCGATGGCTGATTCTTACACAGTGTACTGGCAAGAGTGCATTAAGAATCCTCAACCCCGTATTTGCATGCTCTCATTCAGTCACTGGGTTGGAGTTACAAAAACTATAGGTAGAAGACCTATACCAAGGAATTTCACTTGACTGGAGTTTGGGAAGGTAGGGCAGAACTGTTGTACATAGGGTTGCTGAGTGGGAGAAGACTCCACTACACCTTAGACCAATGCCTTAGGGAAATTCTATCTGCTTCATTCCTCCTTCTTCTCCTCACTCTTCAAGACAGATCTTTGAGGAAACGTGGGTAGGAGACACCCACTAAAAATAATTTAATACATGTTTTCTGTTTGGATTCTACACTGGGATCTATTCTTTCTGTGTGGATTATGCTTTCTTTGCAAATTTAAGACAGATGACAGATTCTTAGGTGGAACTGGTTACGTATCTGAGAAACTGTTAGATAAAGCAGATAAACCTGTTTGCTCATCCTGTTCCACCAGGCATTTCAAAGTATGATGCGGGTAGGTGTCATTTTTATGGAGAAAAAAACACTTGTTAACTGGTCTTGAGGTACCTTGCTTCCTACCCTTCTTTTTAACTTCCCAACATCCTCACTAGTTCTTTCTGGTTATGCACAGCGACCGACAGTACACCCACCCAAGCCTGCTTAGCACTTCTAAATTACCGGTTCCTTTGCCTCCTAGTTTATCCTTTGGGAAACACCCTTTATATTCTTTCAGTTCAGTCTGAAATACACTGCTCTAAAGAAACCTCACTGCCATCGAGTTGATTCTGACTCATAGCAACCCAATGAGGCAGAGTAGAACAGCTCTTTTGGGTTTCCAAGACTTTTTATGGGGGTTGAAAGCCCGAGAGCAGCTAGTGACTTCAAACTGATCTTACAGTTGGCAGCCCAAAATGTAACCACTACAGTGGTAGTGGATGTTAAACTCGTTAAGATGATTTACACCGAGATATGGATTGATGCCACATGTTTAAGAACTGAGAACCAGAAGGGAGACATTGGTGTAAGACATGAAAAACCCCCAATAATTTATAAATTATCAAGGGTTCATGAGGGAGGGAGGGTAGGAGAGGGAGGGGGGAAAATGAGAAGCTGATAGCAAGGACTCCAGTAGAAAGAAAATGTTTTGAAAATTATGATGGCAACAAATGTACAAATGTGCTTGACACAATGGATGGATGTAGGGATTGTGTTAAAAGAGTTGTATGAGCACCCAATAAACTGACTAAAAAAAGAGAACTGAGAACTAATTGAGGATCTGGACACACAAACTTGTAAAGGAGTGACTATATGTAACCCTTGAGTGGACTACTTAGCTTTTCAACGAATTAAATCAATAAACCATCTAGGTTTTAATTGAATCATCCCAACTACCCAGTCTATAACTAAAAGATAACCTGGGTTAGGCAAGAAATCAAATGCAAGGTCAGAGTGGTTATTTGACAGGCCCATGAGTATTAAGGCCAAAGTGGGTGAAATGCCAAGGGGGAAGCTCCCATTCGACCTGGGAGTTTTGACTTCAAGGTATCTGGTTATAAACTTGGGATTTTCAGTAGCTGCTTTTGACATTTTTTTTTTTAGTCCCCTGATTTAAGGCTTTTTAAAAAGATAAAGTCCAGTATTATCGAAGCCTGAGCTTAAAATTCTCCGAATAACCCAAATTTCAGTTAAGATAGGGTCGCAAACTTGGATGTAAGATAGTCGGGGTGGCTAACTGCACCTCCGCTTTCTTTTGCGGGGTGCCCCTCCCGCAACTGTTCCAATCCTGTAGTTTAGCTGGAAGCAGACGCCCAGGGTGACCGCCGGCCTAGAAGGCCACTAACTGCAGTATTCCTTTGGGGGTTTCCGGGGATTCTTGCTCCCGCTGTGACCTTTCACTAAAAAGAAAGGCATTGCGGAACCTTTGAGGAGGTCGGGTCTGCGCGCTGGACAGAAGCAACAGGCGTGACCAGCAACGGCCCCTGCGCAAGGTTCAGGCGACAGGAGTGGGCGGTGCACGAAACTTCCCTTTCTTCAATCGCTTTTCACTATCCCACCCTCACCGGAAGCGGAGCGGCTTCTTCGTTACGCCACTTCCGGTGCGGACCGCTGGGTCGCTGACGGGAGCGAGCACGCTGATGCGCGGCAACATCGTTCCCGCCTCCTTGTCGCCATCACCACTCATCTCTGATCTTTTCGGAGCGTGACGTGCGTGCGCGTCTCCGGCCTTGCGTCTGGGCCGAGGGGAAAGGCCAAAAGAGTGAAGCGAGAAGGAGGGGTTGTGGAGGTTAGGGCCCAACCAGCCAGTCCCGTCGCCCTCCCTCCTCCTCCCGACTAGGATCGCAGAGGGAAGGGGAGGAGCGAACCGGGGCGGGCCGCGCCCGCTAGGAGCCTCCTTGTGGTTGCGGGGGGGGGCGGGACTCTGGAAAGGGGTAGCTCCGTCACCTCAGCTCGTGGCGGCGACGGCGGCTAAGGAAGAAGAAAGTCAGAGCCCGCACCCACCGCCACAGCCTCAGAAAGGCCCCCGCCCCCATCTCCCCGGAAACAGCCCTCCGCCCAGTCCCGCACACTCGCTGCCCTAACCGTGATCCGCAGCACGGTCGCCTCCGCCTCGCCCCGCCCCGACGCCCGTCCCCTCGGGCCGCCGAGTGCGCGAGGCCTTAGGCCGGGAGTTGTTGTCAGGCCCAGGCCGCTTCCGAGGCGTCCGCGGTGTGTCGCCGCCACCACCAGAGGACGACGTCGACGCGGAGGACGAGGCGGCCGAGGCGTGTTGTTGTCGCGCCCACTCGCCTCTCCTGAATTCGCACTCAACGTCAAGGCGCGATGGAGTGAAGCGGCGACGAAGGTGGTACTTCCGCGTTGCGCTGCCCGCCCTGCCTGCCCAAGCTGCGAGCCGGGCCGAGACCGCTCCCCCACCCTGGGGCCACTTGGAAGACTCCGGACTCCCCCGCAGGGTAGCGCCGGGCGCATCTGGTGTGTTTGCTGCCAAGGATAGGTCGGCGATCAAGATCTGGCGCTCTGTCGCTCGGATTCCTGCTCTCCTCGGGCCCGGAGGCCGCTGCGTACCCCACTGTGACCTGGAACGCAGGGACCCGAGTCCCGACCCGGATTATCGTGGCGCGTCCGCCGGCTGGCCCTGCTGCTGGGTGTCCCTCCGCCGCCGCTGTTCCCGTTTCCGGCGGGGGCGATGGCCAGGATCTGACCCGGGAGGAGGCCGCACCGGCGCCGCGCTCTGCGGCGGGTTCTAGGCGATGCCGAGCAGCTCGGACACGGCGCTGGGGGGAGGCGGGGGTCTGAGCTGGGCGGAGAAGAAGTTGGAAGAACGCCGCAAGCGGAGACGATTCCTGTCCCCTCAGCAGCCGCCGCTGCTGTTGCCGCTCCTGCAGCCGCAGCTCCTGCAACCGCCGCCGCCCCCGCCGCCTCTGCTCTTCCTGGCTACTCCCGGCACGGCCGCCGCCGCAGCCGCCGCCGCCGCGGCCTCCTCCTCTTGCTTCAGCCCTGGCCCCCCACTGGAGGTCAAGCGGCTGGCGAGAGGCAAGAGGCGCGCAGGAGGGCGGCAGAAGCGGCGCCGCGGGCCCCGCGCCGGGCAGGAGGCGGAGAAGCGTCGGGTCTTCTCGCTGCCCCAGCCGCAGCAGGACGGCGGTGGCGGTGCTAGTAGCGGCGGGGGTGTAACCCCGCTGGTGGAATATGAGGATGTGAGCTCCCAGTCCGAGCAGGGGCTGCTGCTGGGGGGGG